TTGAATTGAAAAGCGCATTCTTGGTAGCAGGACTTTTCTTTAGTAAAATAAGAATCAAATTGAGTGATTGGAGTATTGACCATCTTTGCTTTTTAAAATCTTATTATAAAAATTTACAATAATATTTTGTATTATGTTTTATTTAATAAATGAAAATTACCTTCTAACTTAGAAGTTTGATCTAAGTTCATTTTTTTTTCTTTAAATTTTAACTCAATTCAAAGGCATTTTTGTTGTAAGCAGTTTCCAACAAACTTTATTAAACTTTTTTTATTTGTGAAAATGTCTACGAAACTCAAAAGTAATTTTTTTATACATATTTTACACAGCATTATTATTATTTTGGAGATTGCAGGTTGTATTAAATTAGTTAAAAATGAAAAATAATTATATCATTCGATTTTAAGATTTATTTTATATATAAAAATAATTAATTATACCCCCAGGAAACAGTTCACTTTTTTCCCAGAATCCTGGGACAAGCAAAAGACTGGGAAATGAGAAACTCTAATGCAAATCTATGTTATATGAAACAAAGGACTAGTACAAAACATAGATTATGTTCAAAAGTTAGCAAAAGTATACTAATCTTTTTCATAATTAAGAGAAAAATGTTTATTAAAGCAATCAATAATTAATACATCTACAACGCTGTAAATAATCGGGCTATATTTTGGATAAATAAGTATAAATTAGAAATGAATTTGGCACTAGAGTGAGGTGTTAGGTGCCATCTCTTATTAAAATTAATAATTATTATTTAATTAAATAATTTAGAATAAACTGGAAGAAAAGAATCGGCCCGAAGCAGGACTCGAACCCGCAACTCCCGCTTACTGTGCAGCTGCGTTACCTTTTATGGCTGTTGTAGACATATTAACTTAACGTATCAGGTTTCAATGGTCTTAACGTCTTAACTTAACGTATCAGGTTTCAATACCATCATCATCTGAGCTTTCCTGTTGACCTTCATATGAAGTATCAGCAATATATTGATTTTTATATATTTTTTTAAAGCAAATGCAAGGAAAATAAAATCTGATATTTTCATTTGCTTGAGTTTACCTAAGAGATCTTTAAAAACTTAATCTTTTTATGCAATAACTATTAATTTAATCTATAAAAACAAAACATGGTGACAGTTGTTTGGGTTTATTTAGAGCACTATTACCAACAGTGAGACCTGGTTTATAAGAAAGCTAGTATAGGAAGTTAAAACCAAAGAAGAAAAATATTTTTTTTTCTTTGTCCTTTGTACAGGGATTTTTTGTCCTTTGTACAGGAATATATCCAAATCACAAACAGTGTTAAGAGCAAAACTGTGTTGTATGAGGGATATCTCTGTTTCTGACTGTCGTAAGTTACAACAGTCAGAAACAGTAAAATTCATTATCGTGTAATTTTACCTTAACTTACATATTGACTTCCATTCTTATATCATCACTTTTATTTTTATATGAAATGATCAATTAATAGAGTCCGAGTGCAAGTTACTCGCGCGCCGCCCTGGTGGAAAATATTTACATAACATATAGGAGTTCTCTAAAGAATGCATATGCGTTGTATCTAAGACATTACGATACCTAAACAATACCCAGTACAGTAAATCGCTTATTGTTAATTTTTATTTGAGTTATAATATTAAACATGGGTAAATCAAATGTAAATTGTTCTGTGTTTGGTTGTTCTAATACACTAGCAAACACTCAACATGTAACGCCGAAAGTTTCATTTTATTGTTTTCCAGCACGTCCACATCTTAAACAGAGGCGCCAAATTTGGATAAATTTTGCTAAAAGACAAAAGTAAGAAATACAAAATTTATTGTTTATTTTTAAAAAATTTACATAAATAATTTTCTAACAATATCCTTGTAAATTTAGTAAAAACGGATCACAGTGGCTACCCTCTAAATCAGCACGGATATGTAGTATGCATTTTATAGATGGGGAAAAAAGTGAAGATCCAAGATGCCCAAATTATAATCCAACAATCTATCCTGAAAAAAGAAGCAATGAAGAAAATTGTCGACATGAACAGTCAATGAAGAGATATAAACGCCTAATGAACAGAAGGAACATTTTATTTGAAGAAGCAGGAAGACACTTTGATGTAGCAATTGAAGACAATTTTTTAGACCCTAAAGAAAAACAAAAACGTGACTTTGGAACTCAAACAGAGGTTACAAACGAACAGTTTGGAGATGTAAGAATTTTTATTTGCATGACTAGTAACAATGTTTCTGAAACTCAAGTTTCCCATGTTAAAATGATTTCAAAAGAATGTGGAGAAAATAATAGGTCATGTCATTTTAGTGGTGTAGCAAATTTTCATGGTGATCAATCTTTAAAAGATCTAACATCAGTAGGATTCGATGTTTTTAATTTACTTTTAGACATGCTTCCAAACAGTCCTGTTAGAGTTTATGAATTGTCTTGGGAAAATAAGTTACTAATTTTTCTAATGAAGTTAAAGTTGGGTTTGTGCTATTCAGCATTAGGTGCATTGTTTGGAATTCATAGAACCACCATTAAAACATATTTTTTACAAATTTTAGAAATTATTTTTATTGCAACACAAGATTGGATTATTTGGCCAACAAAATTATCTATTAAGGCTACATTACCTCAATCATTTAAAGAAAATTATCCTGAAACAAGAGTAATCATTGACTGTACAGAAATTAAAACTGAGAAGCCATCATCAGTTCAACATCAAATTCAGTTTTATTCCTACTATAAATCTGCTTACACTATAAAATATTTAATTGGAATTGCTCCATCAGGACTTATAACTTTTCTTTCTAGTGGGTATGGAGGAAGAAGTACAGATTCGTTTATAACAAATGATTGTGGTATTCTGCAAAAACTGGAGAAGGGAGATATTGTTATAGCTGATAGAGGGTTTCCTCAAATTAAATTGGCTGTCGAAAATAAAAATTCTATTTTAATTATGCCTCCTTTTTCAAAACCAAATCAAACGTAGTTTAGTGGCAATGAAATGGACGAAACATACAAAATTGCTTGTGTAAGAATTCACGTTGAGAGAGCCATTGGTAGAATTAAAATTTTTGAAATATTGAACTGTAGATTACCCATTTCACTTCTTCCATATGTAGATAAAATAATGTTTGTTTGTGTAGTATTAGTAAATCTGCAGCCACCAATTATAAACGAATGAAATTTTTTTATTGTGAAAACACTATAAAACTTAATACTATTTACACTTAATACTTAAATACTATTTACAATTGCAGGTAAATAATAATTAAAGTAGAACATTTCCATCTTCTCTAATAGTGAATAAATGAATGTCTCATTTTTGTCTACTTTAAGTATTACATTTTGTACATCACTATAGATAAATAAGAAAACTGAATATTTGTTACGTATAAAGCTAATTGAATTTGTGTATAATACCTGCTATTTTCTTTTAAATAAAGTTTAGAATTTTTAAACTCTAAATATTCTACAAATATCTCATTTGTCTTGAAATCAACAATTTTTTTATCTTTACACGTGTAAGGGCATTTAATTTCAATTTTGTATTTCTTACTTTTGTCTTTTAGCAAAATTTATCCAAATTTGGCGCCTCTGTTTAAGGTGTGGACGTGCCGGAAAAGAATAAAATGAAACTTTCGGCGTTACATGTTGAGTGTTTGCTAGTGTATTAGAACATCCAAACACAGAACAATTTACATTTGATTTACCCATGTTTAATATTATAATTAAAAAAAAATTAACAATAAGCGATTTACTGTACTGGGTATCGTTTAGGTATCGTAATGTCTCAGATACAACTCATATGCATTCTTTAGAGAACTCCTATATGTTATGTAAATATTTGCCACCAGGGCGGCGCGCGAGTAACTTGCACTCGGACTCTATACAGTTTACCAGTCATGTTATTTCTTCCCAGAAATACAGAAGATAGCCTACTAAAAAGATGTGAATATCCTTGTTTCAAAAGTCTGAATATTCTCTCTGATGGTACATAAAAATAAATACAGTGCCACCTTAAAGGTCGTGTGACTTCCAAAATCTAATTGCTAATCACATCCCCTCAAAATGAGAAATATACAATACATATGATCTGCACTGTTTGTTCATAAATCTTTCTAATATGTATTTGTATCTTATATGTGTATTCATTACGATTCTGTGAGAAATCTTTCGATTGTCCATGAATTTGAAAATTGGCCAATGGAAAGTTTAACCAAATCTCAAGAAATATTAGTGTAGAGAGCCTGTTGCAATGTGTCCCAGGTGATAACTTACCATAAGAATTAAGGATAGATCCTGATAATTCTTTCTTAGAATAGTGCTCCTTTATGCAGACTGTTCTACTATCTGATGCTCTGTTAATGGTGGTCCAATAATGTAAAACATAGGGGAGAAAATCCGAAGAGGGAGAATACTCTCTTAAGCAAACTGCTTCCTTATTCAAAGCCCTCTTAAGTGGACTCAACTACCTTACAATATTCAAAATATGTAGATTTTATATAACTTGACATAATTTTTAAAATATTAATTACTGTATTCTTTTTTACAGCTGTGAATTATTCTGTTATTTTATGTTGGTGGTTGTTAATTTCTTTACGGAAATTTATTGAAATACGATTACAGTAATTTATTATGATAATTATAAAGATAATCCAAAGTAAAATATAAGAAATTCATAAATTATTTTAAAAAAGGTTAAAAATAAAATAACATGAACAATTGAATCACTAGTGATCGATAACTTAGGCTTACTCGTTAAATTTCTGTAGACCTAATGTATTTTTTATTGAAAAACCTAAATTATTATTATTATAACTGAGAATTTGATAGAAAGATGTTCGCTACACCATCTACATTTTTATGTCTATTAAACCTAAAAATATCAGAGAAAAAGGGCTGAACGGTTCAGTAAAGCACAAAATATTTTAACCTAAAAAATTATGGTAGAAAATTTATCGTTTTCTCTTTTAAAAACAATGGAAATAAAACAAAACTTACATGTACAGGCGCATTTTTAATTAAAGCTCCCGAATCTACAACTAGATATTCGACTTTCATTTTTCCACGTGGTATCGTTATCCTCGCAAACCGATTACCACCACCGCCATATTAATCACGTGAAAACAAAAACCACGTGATCTCGGGGGTGTCACGTGATCAACGATGTCGTCGATTTGAGGATTGGAACGGGAAGTTGAAACGGGTCAAGAGAGAATATTAACGAGTGTTTTTTTCATATTAAAAAAGAAGTCTAATCTCAATGTCTTTTATACTTAAGATATAAGATAGATACAGCATAATAATGCGATAATGGTAAGTAAGCAATTCATGTCGAATAATACGTTAAGCCTAAACTTAGGCTTAGTTTCAATATTAATCGAATGTTAAAAAAAAAGAAAATAAAAAGTTTAACTGATATTTAGAATAAGTAGAGTAAAGCTTACCTGTTATATTATTAAGTATTTAATGAAATTATAAGTATGGTTAATTGTGTCATGGAAGATTTTAGGATGTAAGTGAATTTCATAAGAATTATCGCAATTGCTGTATTTTAAATCTAAAGATAACTACTTTATGTAGATACTATAATTAAAATAATTTAGTTTTAACATGCTTTATGACCATTAAACTGTACTTAACATTACCTAAACACTTTAAATATTTAAAAAAGTGAGATTCAAATTTATATATAATTAACTTTTAATATCTATTACAGATTATTTATCAAAATGTAATCACAGAATTATTTATGTAGAGAACTTTGGAATGATTAGTAATAAAAACAGTACAAGTTGATTTTTCATCATTTTCAATAGGAAAAATATTGTATAAACCGTAATATATACTATTACATCATAAAATATCCGCTTAGAATAAAATCTATATGAAACAATCCTATCTGATAGCAGTGAATATTGTTTATTTAGCCTATATTATTATGAAATATTTATGATAGTCTTGCCAGAAAAGTTAAGTATGTACTGTATAAGTCTGTGTAAGCATTTGTTTTCTAAATTAACTGTTAACATAAATTTTAACGGATATAGTTTAACAAGAATATAAATCTTATTAAATAAAATTCATTACGTCTGTTAAGATATGATTTTGTCATATTATTGATAAAATTGTCATGGCAGGAAACATTCAATTTGTTATATTGTATGTGTTGTGTAACTTGTATAATTTAGTATATATTCATTTTTACTGATTTTACAATCTTATTGCATTTCTGTTTATGAAACTGTACTAAAAACAAGAATTACAAATATAAAACACCGTATTAATAAATATAATTTTGATCATTTAAATTATTTGTTTGTATGTATTAACCTGGACGTTTAATTTGGAGTGATTTGAAATAAATACAAAATAGAATTGTATTCAGAAACCTAATTGTTCTTGCTTATATAACATGTGGTGTATGTATAATCAAAAAACAAATTATTACATATGGTAAGGAAATACAATCACAGTATTTTGTTGTTGTTAAAGTTCTGAAAACATATAGAATTATAATTTTTGACAATAATTGATATAAATAAGTGTATTATTTTTAACAATTATAAGCATTATTTTTAATTTTATATATTCATTATCTATATTGGAAATTAGAATGATTCATTATTATTTTAAAATTGGAAAAATATTTCATGTAAGTATACTAGTTTATATATTTCATTTTATTTCATTTTGAAGTGCAATTTTTATTTTTATATTATAAATTATAACTAGCTTTAACAATTGGATTAATTAAGAAATCAAACAATAAAGATTTTTTATCATTACACTAAATTCTTATAAATAGAAATTTGTCACTGATGTAAACAGTGGTGATATTCAGCGGATTCGCACAGGTTCGGCCGAACCCGTTGTTAACATTTTCAAAGTTTTCCGAACCTTGTTAAACACATGTAACATTTCTCAATGGTTTTGATTCTTTTAAAAATATTAAAATATACGTATTATTCTCTGTAATACTACTAAACTAGAGCCTTCCAATGCACCATTTGAGCAAAAAAAAATTGTTAAGGAAAAATTTTCTGTTAGCGAACCCTTTGTTAAATATTTCGAATGTCATCACTGGATGTAAACAGAATTATCATTCACATCCAGTAGGTACTTAATAAATTAGTCTAAATTATTTAATTATTAATTAGAAGATCAGGAAGAAATTTCAGGGAGTAGGAATTTGAACATAATTCCTACAATCAAAACACATTATCAGTTATACTATTCAATGTTTGAGTGAGCATTCTGCTGTGTCCATTCAGCCTGATAAAACTTAGTCTGAATAATTTTAATCAAGTTATAAAATTCTTATGTTTGGTGTATAACTTTGCTTAACTAAATGGAACATTTAGTTTATATATACATATAACAAATATGCTTAACTAAATTGAATATTTAGTTAGATAATATAATTGAAAATATGCTTACCTTATGAGTGAAGATTCAAAGTATAATCTGACTAGCTACTTTTTAAGATATGTCTAAATCATAGGTAAATTAATTAAATTTATTCAATTATTGAAATAACATGTAAATGGTGGTTCTATATAAATAAAATCACCATTATAAGTTATTTCAATAATTATATTTAATCAATCAACAAAATTTCCTTTTAATTATTAGATTCTTTTTTGCCTATATACTTTCCTGGTGAGACTATTCAGTGGCAATGAATATTCTCACCAGGAATATTTATTGTTTAGAATTTTTGAAATTTATCATTTCAATGAAACAATTTTATATTGAAATATAAAAAAAGTAAAATGAAAAAGTTATATATTGGGTTGAGGAATAATTCATGAGCCTTTTTTTTTTTTTTTTTGAAATTTATTTTAAACAAAGAAACTACAATAAATTAATTAGTAATATACTTGCTGTTGTTGTTTACGACTTTCTCCTATCATTCAATAAGTTTTTCATTGTCATGGTGATAGAAATCTCTGTCTTGACTAAAAGAATTCATCCAACCAAGCCCTCGATTCCATGTCATTATTGAACAATACATCATGCAAAGCATTCAAAAGTAATTTAATAGATAAAAATCTGATGGCACCAAGTATGAAGAGGATGAAGCAACATTTCCCATTTGAGTTCTTGAATGGTGGCTTTGGTCATATTCGCTACGTGAGGACAAGCGATGTCGTGTTGCAGAGAAATGTCATTTCACATATTCAGTCTTTTTTGGTGAATTGCTTCATTGAGTTGTGCAATTGTTGAATGTAGAGCTCCACATTGAGTGTTTGATTGTGCTCAAGCAATTCATAGTGAATTATGCCTTCCCAATCCCACCATACACACAGCATAGTCTTTTGAAGATGAAGGTTTTGTTTTGCTTGAGAGTCTCTTGTTTGTCAGAGCAGAGCCATTCTTTTCACTGCTTCATATTGACATAAATGCACCATTTTTCATCACCAGTGACGATGCAGTAAAGAAAACACTGTTTATTGACTGTGTTGAGCAATGTTGAGTGAGCAAACTGGTTGCAGTTGTGGAGCATTGATTTTTGTTGTTTTTGATCAGTGTGTGGCATCCAAGTGTCAAGTTTCTGAACCTTGCCAATTGAGTGAAGGTGGTTCACCAAGTTTTTTATCACAAACCATCTGCTCTGCCAATTCTCTGGTCGTTTGATGTGGATTTTCATGAAGTTAATTCAATCATTCTTCATTAAACTGAATTGGTTGACTAGTGTGTGATTCATCCTTGAGGTAAAAATTTCCATTTTTGAAATGCAAAAACCAATGGTGGGGGTACTTTGAGGCATTGCTCATTCTCCATACACAGCACAAATCTCACAAGTAGCTTCAGCAGCTGTAACCTCCATTAAAAGCAAATGGAGTTAAAAATGCTCAGTTTTGTCTACTTGACATTCTATTTTAATGATCTGTAAATACACAAAAATCAATAAAATTAAAAAATCAAAACATGCTATCTTGTAGAGAAAAAATTCTTTTCCAAATAATATAAGACATTTTGCCAGTGCATTTTTAAATTTGAAAAAATGCTTATGAATTATTTCTTAACTCAATATATTGATGTATAGTATAGATTTAGTATAAGTCAGTAAGTTGCTCAACTGAATTAATTAATTTATATTTAATAGGTTTTTAAAATTTAATTTATTGTTAAAAGTACATTGATTAATTCAGCATAAATTTCCTGTTTTAAACATATGTTAATACCATACTGTGTGCATTTTTTTTTTAAATTACTTTTATGTATAATATATGGACAACTCCAATTTATGATTGGGTTATGCTCCTTGAGGAAGTATTGTAAATGGAATACAAGTTATAATGTATTGAATGAGATATCTTCCAGTTCCCAAATTTTTTCATATATAAATTATTATATATTAATAATTAAAGCTTTAAATAAACAGTTTTAAGAATTTTTTCACATAAATATATGTCAATAAATTATGATAGTTTAAAATTAACAAAATTTAAATTAGAACACTCACGTTGAGTTATAGTCATGTTATAATAGTCACTGTTTAGGCTCCTTTGTTGTTGTTGTTTGGCAGTAATATGATCATGGTTTGACAGCTATTGAGAGAATTATGCACTGTTGGCATGAATGTATTTTTAAAATTATATCAGTGCTAGTTTTTATATTTTTTATTTTTTTGTGAAGTTTTGGCATGTTTTGAAAATTGTATAATTTAGAAGATACACCTGTATTATATATATAGTGGTGCCTTATACTTTGAATTTAATGAAGGTGAATTAATCCTTCAAAAATGAATCTTTATCCTCAGATTTTTTTAGTGAATCTCTGATGGGAATGCCTTCTAAAAGATATATTTCAGTCAGAACCCAAACATCAATCTTGCTTGCATAGCCAAGTTGATGCAGATGGTTTCCATGCTCAATTTTGATATTTGGAGAAAGTCTGCAATCTTTCATGTTGTATAGTGTAGATCAGTGTTGATTAGCTCTTTCACTTTATAGCTGGCCCAATTGTGGTGTATTTTGGACAGAAAAAAGTCAAGAATGACATCTCGCAAACCACTTCTGGAACATACATTCTTTCAAGGCATCCTTGCCATACACTGCATGTATATTTTTACAAGTTTACACCATGTTTTTCCTTTTTTTAAAAATAAAAAAAAGCATAATCTGTTGAAAATGCTTATTTTGCTTATCCATGTTTCAGCTGATGTCAAACAACCAAACTTAATGCTTTTTTTAAAAAATGAATTTTGAAATGTCAGTTTTAAACAGTTACAAGCTTTCAAAACTTAAACTGAAAGTTATTGCTTTTCATAATAGAGAGGTTGCAGCTGAAGTTTTCATCTCTAAAAT